GATCAAACTGTGGCCTACTTTCTAACCTTTAAGCGACTGACTAGCTTTTAGCCAACATTGTTTTACCCTGTTTTGTTAGAAACGTAATGCAGAGGCCAAAGGAAAGGTGATTTGGTGGTACAAAAAAGAAAAAGCGAAGGCTTCTAGTTAAAAAACTACAACAAAAAAGGCAGTTGACTGCGCCCAAGCTATGAAAAGTAAAGACTGTCAATTGTTGTTCACGAATTAACTGTCAAGTTCTGGAAGTGATCACAGGTCAATCTACTGATAAATACAGTGTAGTAGGTAGTGTAGTAGGTTAAATACAGATTGGAACACCAATACTTTGAGCCCTTGAAAATCAAAGAACACAGTAATGCAAAAGGTACTCACCATCTCTTGCATTGGTAGGTGGACTTGATGGAAGCGTTCGATCCATTTTGAGAAGCTGTTGGCTCATTTCCTCCAGCAGTAATGCATTTTTTGAGAGACTGTAACACTCCTGGCTACTGCTTCCCAACATCTTGGATACTTGATCCACTTCGTGTTCACTCAGGCTCATGAGCTGCCAGCAAAGGGCAATTTGCTCTCTTAATGATGAGGACAGAAGGGCTTCAGGGTTTTTTACTCCACATTCCATTGCAGACCTTCGGAAACAATCCAATGCTCTGATGAAGGACGGACCTTCAGTCCGTGCAAACAGGTATGGGTTCATTTTTGACACGCCGGCTTGTTCTCTATTTTCAACGAGCAAATCGATTGATAAAACCATTTTCTCTGTGAGCAGAACCAGCATGTTCCTCCCGAACTGACCTTCTAGTTCTAATCTGGTGAAACTGCTACCAAGGTCCAGCTCCAATTTAGTGCTTTTTCTAATTTGATCTGCAGAGGGCATAAATGTTCCACAACTCTTCTTATTGTAACTTTGCAAAAGCAATCTACCAATATTTCCTACCCGTCCCCTGTTGAACAAACACACATCTGCAAGGGTGGCCTCGCTGAGCTTTTTCCAAGTTGACAAATTAGGACTTTCTTTCAGCTCCTTCCTTGCTTCTTCTTCTTCCCCCGTGATAAACGTGTGGAGTTTCATCAGATCTTCCGTCACAGTTGATTTGTCTACTTCCACTTTCTTAACGTCTTGCTTTTGGGATAATGCGAGAGCTTTGCGAGAAAAACACTCACTCCACTTTGTATCGAGAAGTTGTATGAACTTTCTTACTTCACTTTCTGTTTCACTGTCCTCTGTCATGCGGCTTTCCCCAAAAGCTATTTCTGCAGCACGTTTCAGAGAGTAGCGAATCTTGGAGACGAGGGAAATTGTTTTAAACTTACTGGAACTGGGGTCAAAGCCACTTAGTTTTTTGGCCCCTTCAATGGCTAATCCAAATCTGGATGGAAGGCATATTTCATGCAGGTACTTTACGCTGCCATCAAGCTCATTTACAGCGACCACAAATCTACCTAATTCCCTCATCTTTTGTGCAATATAAGCAAACTGAGACTTGTCATGGTCATACTTGGCAGACAATGCATTTCCATATTTACAAATAAGGGGATCGTTTCTAACATGCCTTGAAATATCATCTTGATGCATGATGTGGATGATTTCCTCGCACCCACCAATTAAGAACTCTGACATTGGAAGCAGTCGGGAGGCAGCACTATGGACTCTGCTTTTCTTAGTTTTATCAGAAGATTTCTGATCTCCCTTTCTGGCCTTACATGACCGCTCATGCCTCCATAAATCTGTTTTGCGATAAAAAGCAAAGCAGTGCTGGCAAGGAAGGAAGTCACGTACTGATATGCTGGGATTTTTAACCTGTTTCTTGGTGACAATTTCCCCTTCGCCACTTTTGAGAACTTGGCAATTATGTTCATAATCTCCTCTATTTCGAATCTGGTCAAGTAGACTCTGTCTAACTCTGGAACCTTTGGGAAAGTGTATTGCATGGGTAACATCTGTTTCCTCTGCATGCCTTCTTTCCAAGTGCTTTGCAAGTTGGGTATAAGCGATTTTGCAATATAAACAGAAGTGCTTTTTACCTGGCTCTTTTTTTTCCACATCCACTTTAGCAGGAATCAACTGAATAACTCTCTTACTGGATCGTGCTGGTTGTTTTCTCGCCACATATCTTCTGCGACGCCATGGTTGCCTTTTACGAATCTCTTTTGTGCTCGACTGAAATGTATCTTTACCATCTGACTGACCTGCCTCTGCCTCATCACTTGAGCCATTTGAGTCCTCAGGGGCATTGCCATTTTGTTCTGTATTGTCATCGTTTCTTGTAAGCATCCCTTCTGCATTTGTGTTATCTAAATGAACAAAGTTCAAACTCATTTTACTTGTAAAACAACCATTTGCGTCCTCTGACATCTCGTCTTCCTGTGCTTGCTTCTGGTCTTCCTTTCCTTGACTTTCCTGCTTGGCAGCAGAATCAGAAGCAGCACTTTTTGATTCCGTTATATCCTTTCCACCATTTGGGATCAGTTCATGTTCCCTGAAAGTCACTTGCTCAGTATTTATACTGGCAGAACAGCTTGGCATTCTTTCTACCTCCATACCTTGTGGGAAATTCTCTTTTACTCTTTGAGTACCCTCGTAATTTCTGGCACTGTCAAGGTCAGAAGTCAACCTAAGAGCATCACCCGAACTTCTCTCTTCAATCAAGCTCCTCTCGCCTTCAAATGACCTCGCCTCACCAATAGTACAAGCCTGCAAGAGAACAAGTATATGTAAGACTCATTGCCAAATCAGATTCCATGTATAATTTACTGAGTGAACCTAAAGCACAGACCCACTCAATGTGGGATAAACAAAATAAAGCTATACTTTAGTTTGAATTTTGGTTGTTAAGTGATGGTAAGTCAGGCAACTCGTTTTTGGTACTGTCTTTTAAACATTCTTTGCACATTTTCAAATGCTTTTTAACACATAAGCACCTTGGCTATGCCCCACCAAGATCCAGGCTCATTCAAACAGAAGTCAATGTGATGGCCACACATCACTTTTAGACCAACATCTGTAACAAAAGACCCATTGACACCTCTCAAGTACAAAAACCACATGTGACCCATTCGAGAACAGTTAATGGCTTTATTGGATCAAGCATTTTGATATTGTAAATGTCTAACCAAGTATATGTAGTCATGGCATGTTGGATGAAATGCTACATGAAGTGAACAGAATATGCACTGACGCTAGACCTACATTGACGTCTTGCATTTAAAGAAAACATATTTGTTATGTTATGAACAGCTTTTAGGCTTAGCATAGCAGTTTTCCTCCAGTATAATATTAAAAAATGGGTGACTAGGTACAGATGCAAAACAATTGAATGGTGTTCAGCCATTTTAAGGTGAGAACAACATATATATATAATGTTGAATAAATGATAGTACTGGTGCATGCTGGTTGCACGTGTTGTGTTATGCTAATCATTATGAAACATCTGAGAGCATATACAGTAAGTACCTGCTTCATAGAGATCATCTTGTCCCAATACTTCATGTTTTCAGTGTCTTCTTCCATTGTTGGGTTACCTGCAAGGAAAGATGACACAACAGTCTCTAATGTGTACATATCATCATGAATTAATAATGTTGAATGAATAAAGTGTCCAAGTTATCAATGTACAACTCCACTAGCTGCTAACATCACGTGTAATTAGAGCAATGAGCAATTTACTTTGGTGAAGATTCTTGTTAGCTTTTATAATCTTCTGCCCATATTACAATACCTTTCACGTTGAAAGTAATCAAAAAACATGATGTGTTTAATTGAACTTTTAAGTGTTCCATGCTTAAAAAAATTGCAATTGTAAACAAACTAAATGGCTACATAAAAGAATATTCACAATATTGAAATATCCCTCAACATATGTCAAATATTTAATTTGATAAAACATTTAATGACACACTCTTACCTGGGTTTGTAGCAGAAGTGAAGGTGATTTGGAGTTGTGAAGAATATCTTGAAGCGTTCAATTATTAGTAGACATGAAACCGTTAAGTCTGAGGTTTGAGATGTTGAAGAGAGATTCCTTGGTGCACTGTTTACATTTCTTTCATAGAAGCACCGTTTGGGTTATTTGTTTAGATCCTTTAGTTGTAACGGTATTAAGTCATCTCTGCTTCAGCATGTAGCTCTCATTTTTTTATTTTGACATGTACAATTATTTTAGGGTGTCCTCAGATATTCCAAAGACTCTCCATAAGTCTTAAAATGTAGTCAAATCACAAATAGATGATTGTATCTGAGACAGAAACAATGTCGTAAAGAACATATGTTGATCCAAGATGGTGGCGCGCAAAGACGCAGTGATCCAGCGCCTTTTTTTTCTCTTCGAGTTCAATTTGGCTGCATCATGTCACCTTAAAAAAAAACTAGTAAACAAACACAATGTGCTGATGTTACCCCCTCCCACCGCTACTGACATTTCACCTGTTGCCAGCCGCCTCAGCTTGTCAGTAAATTGTAACGGGTTGTCAGCAGTAGCCTGACACCGCATTGGGCCGGCAAAACCGGAAAATCTACCCAACTCTAGTCATAATGAATAGGAGGTGCAAGATTTGTGCTCAAAAATGTAAAAAATGTCTCACGTGAGGACATTGCATATGGGACAAAAGCAATTATTGTGCAACCGTTGTTCGTGTGATATGGATCTCAAACCGTTCTACAACTTTGCTTCCATTTGAGCAAAATATAATGTAGTTTAACTCAATGTAAGTTCAACATTTTGTACGGTGATGACATGGCCGAGCAAGTCTTTGACCTTATTTGTTTTTTTTCTACACACACACTTCCATACACACTCACACACATACACATACTGGGGGCAACCAAGGTGCTAGTTGTAACATTTTTTTAAATGTGGTTTTGTCTTGAAATTGAAGTATCAAGAAGCTATATCTAAATAAAATAAATAAAAACACAACATTTGTTTTAAAGATCGCAGATTGGTCAGCTGATTGTTTTTCTAAGATGAACTAAAACAAAACATTTTGTAAGGGAAGGAACATACCTCCTGGTCCAGATTGTACTCCTCTTTGGAATTAAGAGCCAACTTTACAGCCATGTAATCTCCACTCTTCACAGCTTCCCGCAATTCACCTGACGGGGACAAGATGGAATTTTAAGATGTCAAAGATACATAACAATATATTGTGGAAAAAAACAAACAAATTATATGAACAAAAAATGTAAAATAAACATGAGGACAGACCAGAAACGTTATGGTATTTTTTAAATGTTACTAAATGATTTTATAAGCAGGAATGTAAGCATTACTTTTTTGTTGAAGTTGTTAATGTTGGCCTGTTATGTTTGTAGTTAATTTTACATTATTACATTACATTGCATTTAGCTGACGCTTTTATCCAAAGCGACTTACAATAAGTGCGTTCGTCCAACAAAATACAACTTGAAGAAAACAGAATCATATAAGTACATCAGGTTTCATAGAGCCAAAACATTTCAAGTGCTACTCAACTAGCTTTAGATAAGCCAGTCCTTTATTAGTATATAAGTGCTTTGTTAGTAATTTCATTGCTCAAAGTGGAGTCGAAAGAGATGAGTTTTCAGTCTGCGCCGGAAGATGTACTTCAACTGTTCATATTCAACGGTTGGCCTTCAATACGTTTGTTCCTGAAAACTCCTTGACTGCTTCTAGATAGCAGCAGCAGTGTCTCAAATGTGTCCGAGATGTGAATGGAAATACTCACTGGGTGATAATGGAGGACCTGACAGGATCTCGTCGTCTCCGTTCAGATGTTTCTGGAAGTCATCCAGCGTCATCCAGTCCAGGTTCAGGTCCATTCCTAGACTCAAAGTGGCTTGGCCCTTGTCTTTAAAACACACAATGCAGGGACAGAGATACTTCATTAGTTGGCAGGTGGAAACTTTGCAAAATGCAACTCTGAAAATCTTCCGTACATATGCTTCGAACTTCAGTTAGTGTTTGTAGCAGGGATGGAACGATTCTTTGTTTTGCAAGTCAAATGTTATCTTGTAAAATGTAGTTTTTGGTGAAAAAATTAAGTTGTTTCCAGGAGAGGATAACATCTTATCAATTTCCATGTTCTTTCAAGTTTAAGTGCCCTGTGTTTAGGAGGGGGCTCTCGGAAATAAAGAGATTTAAATAATAAACGTTTTACTTGTTGGATTTGGGGAATCTTTGTAGTATTTCTAAATTAATAAGATCAAATCCAAAATAGCTCACAAGACAGTGGTATTACAGCCCAAGTTTGCTTTGGATGGTTCGGTTAAAGTAAAATGTTTTAATTTTCAAGTTAAAAGTCATACATTTGTCCAACTTCAATCCTACCTCTGAATTATTTCAATTCAGAGATCAACAGAAAATGGACATATCAAAGTTACAAGATTGTTGTTTCATTATGAATAAAAAACAATTGGATATTTGGAAGCATCAATGATTATATTCTCAGTGGCCAATCAGATGCATACCAGATTTGTCAGCGCCCCCCGGTGGGTCCTGGGAGTCCTGATTGTCGTCACATGCCATGAAGAGCCTGGTCTCGCTGTCTTCTCTCCTCTTCCTCCTGTCCTCTGCGGGAGGTTTCCTCTCCCAGCCGGGCCGCTGTGCCTCCTCTGATCTCTCCTTCCTCTCCCGGGAATCTTCTCCAGGCTTCTGCTTTGCTGGAGTCTCCTCTGCTTCCCTCTCCTCGCTGTCCAGGCTGAAGCCAAAGCTCTGGCCAGGTCTGGAGGCTAAAGGACAGCAGACAATTCCTCATATTTCTTGGGCTTCAAAGAGCCTCCACATAAAACAAGAGACATAAAAAACGAGAAAAAAAATGTTTGTGCCGGTGTCATGCATACCCTCCGATTGCTTGTTCTTCTCCGTCTTCTCGGACTCTGCTTTCTGAGCCGGAGACTCTTTGGTTGTCTTGGGGATCTTCTCAATCTTTCCTATTAGCTAGAAGTGGGGAAAATACAATGTTAACAGCTTGTAGTTTTTGGAGGTAAACTCACCGGAGTAGCAAGAACAGCGCAAACATGAATGGTAACTAAGGTATATGAGAAGTTCAACATTTGACAGAATTATGATAACTAAGGGTATTGCTTATTCTGAAAAAAATATGAATGTGGTCCTCTCCTGACTTACAAATGATTTACTTTTACTATATCGTTTTTATAACAGTAGATTTAGGCATTTTATGCACTTTCTGTTGCTACGTCCGGCAAAATGTGCGTATTATTACATGTTTAAGATAGCTTCATGAAGGATAAAGGCCCAGGACACAAGCAGTGGTGTTACATCTCATTACCTACATCAATCATTTATACAACGTTTAAATCAATAGACAATTTTCAAAAAACTTAAAAGCATGTACGATGTGAAAATCTCCATTTTCCATGTGTGTTACCTTACAGAAATGTTAAGATAAAGTGTGTATGCACTTTTGTCAAGATAAACCAACATGCAACCCATTTTCGAGAGAGGGAGAGACTTCACCTTTGTGGGTTTGCTGCTGGCCTTCTCTGGGGGGGCCTGATGCCCGGGCTGCCTGCGGGGGGCACGGTCTTTGGCCTCGCAGTTTAACAGGAACTTCTCAAACAGATTAGTGGAGCCTGTAGCGTCCTTCGCTCCCAACGGCTCCTCTTTAGCCACCTCCTCCTCCCTCAACTTGAGGCCGACTGCGGGTGTGACCGAGGAAGAGGAGGACGATGAGGATGTGGAGGAAGACGGGGCTTTGGGGGGTGCGGGCGTGATCTCCTGGCCTTTGCTCTTGGCTTTCTTGTGAAGGGCGGAGCTATCGCTAGAGTCTGAGTGCAGAGCAGTGTCCTCTTTCACTTTCGAGGTGAGGCTCTTCAGTTTTTGGAGGCTGCTTCTTTCTGAGCGGCGTCTGGCTTTTTGCTCTTTTTGTCATGGATGAGGTCTTTAATGCCCTGCAGCTTCCCTTCCAACCTCCCCTTGGTAGGTTTGGACTTGTCGTCAACGCGGGATTTTTCTGCCGACTTTGTCACCGTATCCGTTGATGCATTATCGTCCATTTGGGACTCTGATGGGCCGTCGCTCTGGTTCTCCTCCAGCGGTGCAGCGGCCTCATCTTCAGAGGTTTCTACCTTCCTGTCCTTCTTCCCTTTCCTCTTCTTCCCCTCCTCTACCTTGTCCTTCTTTTGTTTCCCTCCCTCTTTTTCCTTCTCCTTCTTGTGTTTTTTGGAGGGAACAGGCTCATCGTCCTCATCTTCAGATTCAACCAGACGCTTTTTGAAATCAGGCTTTTTCTCCTTTGGAGGAGAGGGTGGAGTCGGGGCTTTCTCTCCTTCTTCTTCCTCTTTGTCGGTGTCTGGTGCCGGGATCGGCCTCAACTGCTCCTTCCGTTTCTCTTTCTTCTTCTTCTTCTTCTTGTCCCTTGGAGGTAGTTCCTCTTTTACTTCTTCTTCTTCTTCTTCCTGTACCCTTATCTTTTTCTTCTTCTTGACAGGTGCCTCTGTGGGACGGTCTTTGTCACTGTCGATGTCTGAGTTTGCATCAAACAATTCGCTCTTTGAAGGCAGAGGTTTCTATTAGAAGGACAGATAAAGCACAATAAGATTTATATATTATTTTTGGCTATCTAGCTAAGGCAACATGAATTTCAAAAATACTAGGGGCTGAAATCTTCAAAGGGCTCTACAAGTCTAACGGTCTAATCTCTGATAATTTCTCAGATAATCTTTTTAGTGAATTTAACACTTATGTTGTGATCGGGTCTCCCGTGACCCGTTTCAAGTTAAAATGATATAATAACTAGGGCTGGGACTTTAACGCGTTAATTAAGATGAATTAATTACACAAAAATTAACGCATTTTAATCGCACTTATTTTTGCACCGCGGAACGTTTCTCACTGGATGAGTTTCAGGCGTACCGATTATACTGGAGCACCAACTAATGTTCATGACTTCAGACAACAACAAACCACAGTGAACAACAGTGGGAAATGTTGTTTTAAAAAACGGACGGATAGAAGCGTCGATAAGAGCACGGTTGTGTGCAAATTATGCAAAAAGGAATTCGCATATCACCGCAGCACATCAAGCCTCAAGTATCACCTCAATGCAAAACATATAGCAGCTAGCGTGGAAGCTAGCGTGGACGTTAGCCTCTTTTATCGCGTTCACACCAAAAAGAGCCGGTACTAAAATTAGTTCATGAGAACCTTTTTACCCCCCACGAAAGTCCCTGCTAGAGAGCAGAGAGCTGCTAGAGAGCAGGGACTTTCGTGCGGCTCTCTTGTGAGAAAAGAGCTATATTTCTGATTGGCTGGGCGGATTGCAAACCACGCCCCGTAAAACTCCCAAAAAGTTTGGTGAAGCCGCCATTTTATTATCCTCTCATTAGCATTATTAGCATTAGCATTAGCCCAGCGCAGAAACGCAGAGAGACTAACTTATGGCAACACAAAATAAAAGATGGGAGCGGTGGAGATGAGGAGGTGTCGACGTTCTGGCGATTTACTCGGAAGGCTTCAGTAGAAGCTGCTGGGACTCCCAGCAGCTTCTACTGAAGCCAGTCCCCAACTCCGGGAACTTCCGGCCGCGGACTTTGGGCGGCAGTATACGACGTGAAGTGGTTTTCGGCCTGCCAGTAAACCCAAAGCAGAAGAAGAAGAAGTGACGTCAGCGGCTTCATTTGTTCTCATGAACTAAGTTCTCATGAACCTTTGTGGGAAAAGTACTGCGGTGTGAATGCGCCTAATGGTATACTAAAATCCATGTGAAAAAAATTGCTTCTCACTGTTCTCAGGTCAAATATTTATATGCGATTAAAAAAGCGATTAATTTCGATTAATTAATTACAAAGCCTCTAATTAATTAGATTAATTTTTTTAATCGAGTCCCGGCCCTAATAATAACTAAACTCTAGTTTTTTTTTTATCGGAACAAGGCTTCATGATATCCTCCACAACAGATATATAAACACTACAAAACTGATTTTTACCATTTTAGCCAAGTCTGAAGGTCTCTAAAAAAAAAAAAGCGTATAATTTGGTGTTCAGGTCTGGGTAGACCCAGTAGAATTGTTGGGGGTGACTCAGGGTCAAATTTGGCCCAAGATTCATCTTTGACTTTAGACACCCCTCCCCCTCCCCCTTCATGCACTGTAACAATCATTTTTTGCAACATGCACCTGGTCTCCCCTCCCTCTGCCCCCCTCCCCCCATGGGAACTCCACCTTTCTCAAAGAATATGTGCACTAACACTTGAACCTGAACTCACATGCACATGGGCAATATGTGGTGTAATGAGTTTTGGGCCATAAAATAAAATTACAACAGGATTGTACGGTTATGAATGCATAATTAGTTAGTTATGATGTAGTTCAAACAATATTGGATGATAGTCATTTTTTGTGTGTGTTTTGGACTGAGATAAATCATGGGTCAAAATTGACCCGCTAACACCATGAACGGTAACAGCTTTCGAACACAACACAAGGGTTAAAACCCAGTGTTTTTCTGAAAAGGATAGCTATTAGGGGTGTAACGGTTCACAAACATTTCGGTTCGGTACGTACCTCGGTTTTTTGGTCACGGTTCGGTTCGGTACGTTTTCGGTACAGCAGAATTTTTTTTCACAAAACATATATATATATTTTTTATTATTATTATTAAACTGTGAATAATGTATTCACTCAAATAAATACAAAATATAATAAAATGAACATTAAGGTGCAGCATTTCGATGAACTGAAATAATCTGTATTTGAACTGTACTGTACTAGCACCTAAGCAGCCAGTTTGACATTAGGACTTGCTTGTCATTGTATTTTCATGTTTTTTTAAAGAAAGATGAACTTGTCCACATTGCTTGCTGAAAGGGCATATCTGCTGGCACTAACAATGTCTCCTGCTGTGGAGAACACCCTCTCTCTAGGGACAGAGGTAGCAGACACAGCCAGGTAGCGCTTTGCTAACATGGCAACATAAGGATATTTGGTGTTTGTAATAGCTTTGGCTCGGTCTGAACTCTCTGCGAGTGGTGGAGGCTTACATGCTAGTGGGAGTTGGGTTTGCACTTCAGTCTTTTTTCTTTTGGTACCGGTGATATTCACGTTCGGGTGATGCCTTTTCAAGAGTGTGCACTGTGCAAGTTTGATGTATTGCCAGCCGCGTAACCAATTTTAGTTGAACAATGCTGACAAACAGCTTTGGTTCGGTCCACCTGTCTTTGTCCGTCATCCTTGTACGTAACTGCGAAACCAAAATGTTCCCAAACCGGAGACTTCAATGATGCTGGAGGATTTTCGAGCTCAACTTTATCTGCGTTCGCCATTAATTTTTGACAGTTCCTCAAATTACTGACTACATTTGAACGCATCCCTCAGACCAGCTCTCATAGTATGCCTCTCATCCAATGAAATGACTTGCTCGCTCTATGACGCGTTGAACCCAATGTGAGCAAATTACTCTGAATGCTGCGACGCAGCACCTGAGATTACTTCCAAAAAGTTATTCACGTTCTCAATTTTTTACGTTTAACGTTATATTCGTTCGGTACACTTCGGTACACACCTGTACCGAACCGAAGGGCCCGTACCGAATAATTTCGGTACGGGTACGTGTACCGTTACACCCCTAATAGCTATACATCTATTCTCGCTCAGATATTTGGTATATAAATATCTACGGATGTGTTTTGGACACATTTCTTGGCGGTGGGGAGTTCAACAATCTATCTCAGCCGGTCATGCCAACAAGCCATAATGAGTAATTAGGGGTAATACCGTATTGCTTAAATGCTGTTTCTAACGCCTGTCTTATTAATACAGTGAATATAGTATCAGTGATACTCTGGTTAGCAGACTGTCACTTAGACGTACCGGGGGCTTCTTGGCTTCTGCCTCTTTCTTGATCTTGATCTCAGCCATGTTCTTCTTAAAAGCCAAGAGGACCTCACGACAGTCCTCCAAGTGGGCCTCTGGCTCCCAAGTGTCATCGTCCGAGCAGTAGTTCTTCCAGCGGACTCTGTAGAGCACTTCACCCTGAAAACAGAGAGAGAGGGATATGAAGCTCCAGCATTCAATCAACATCAACCTGACAGGGTGGCTGGTAGCTGCCAGAATGTATCTACCGAGTAGTTTACCAGCTAATCTGATGATGGCTTCCTGTGATAAACATTGCAGACAAGCTAAATACCATTTTTATTTTACTCATTCATTTTTCGTTTTCATAACAATGTCAACAAGTGTTCATTGGGCAGAAAAAGTGGAACAGTAAGATTTAAAGCCTAAAAAGACAACATCAAGTGCAACCATCAAGAGATCAGAGAAAAGTGAGAAAAAGTGTGCAACAACATGGCTTTTATTGTAAAGTAACCAGAGGAAGTATCCTAGTTATAGTATTTGTTTGACAAACAAGAATAATCTTGATTTACTGTTAAGATTTTAAAATAATTTTTCTATTTAGCCGGGACAATGTCTTCATAAAAGGGGTGGGTTAGTTGAAGGGCTGAAAAATTAATACTGAGGCTATAGCATACATCAAATGAGAAAGAGTAAAAGTAATTAAGTGAAACAATGTTCTTCATCTCTCATGGATTTAAAGACATGTCACAAAAACTAATCGGAAAAACAGTGACTTCTGACAGTAAAATATGTCTTTGCAGGAACAATCTTTCTCTGATATAGAAAATTCGTGCAGTTATCATATTGATTATCTTAGCACTGACTTTAGATATTCTGTTCCATTTATTATCTAAACATGCATTGGCTTCCTCTTCCCCTTACTTCACACATAGATAAGTATTTCTACTTTCTTCACACACAAACAGTTAGTGTATAGCCCTTTATAACTCTAATCCATGACATTGGGCTCCCATGTTGTGCATCGCTGCACCTGTACATAAACTGTCTATTTGAATGGCTGCATCTTCATGTAGAGCTGCCAGCAGGCCAGGCTTACTTTCTAAATGTGTTTGTTTTCACTCTCCTCTGTTTTTGTGAGCTTTTCTACACAGGTGGCGCAAACCCCTTGAGGCTCTAAAAAGCCTCTTTAAAAATCGGAGACCAGCACTAAGCCAAGTGTGTTAATAACTCACTCGGGATCAAATTAGCTCCACCACCTCCATGACCATGTGATCCTCATTTAGCAGATTCTACTAGTCCCTCAAGTCTCCCTACATAGCAGTCACTTTAATCTGTCATTGAGGTAATTTGCCTTCAATTTGTGGTTCTTATTATATGGTTACAATCCAAATCAGAGCATGATTCCTTTCATTTTCTCCAACTATTTGGCCAAAATGGGTTTCTCCTGTACGATATGTTGTTAAACATCAATTTCATGTGTATTTAAATCGATCAAGAAATGCGTTAAGTCAGTGTTTTGAAGTGATGCTGCATAATTAAAGTTTTATAATGACAAATGATTCAGTGAGGATGGCTCTGCAGCTGGAGATTTGTTTATTTGTTGCCTCTGTGAATGTGTTACAGGTTTAAAAAGAGCTTACTCTTGAGGTGTGGAAATTGAATTTAACAGTACATCTTTTGACAGAAACATGAATACAGTTTTTGTTCAGTTGGATACAACACTTGAGTTGCTACTGAATCGACACTTTGCTTATTCCTGATTCTCGTCATGAAAATGCAAAAACTAAATAAAAAAACAATAGGAAAGAGCTCAGTTAAGTGAAATCATTCCAGAATAACAATGTTCCTCAAGCATGAATACACCTATGTTTATTTGTAAATCTCATAAAGGAATTTGAGTGTGTTGAAAGATGGGGAAAACGTTTAAATGACCGTAAATGAAACAAGTTGACTGTGAAGAATCCTTTAAAGTTCGTAAGAAAAACATCCACTTTTAAATCACTGGGAGTATAAGTGTGAACAAGTTGCTTTGTAAACCTAATGCAAACATTTAAATAAAAACGTGTTTTAAGTCGTTTCATTCTGTGTTTTAAATGTCTTCTGTTTCTATTGGGAAGCACTTTTTAGCAGTTTATACAATTAACTTTATTATTAAATATGAAAAAATAAAACACCTGTCCCATGGTTAATGTGTGTTATTTTATTATTAAAAGTAACTGGTTTTTTAAATTATTCTATAAAATGTCATAATGTTAAGATAATACATATCCTTAATTTAAAATTGCAAATGAGAGGTTTCATTATAATCCATCTGGAGTTTCTTTACCTTCAATCAATCAATGTGTATTTGTTTATATGTGTAATGCCTTTCCTGTACAACCTATGCCTAGGTGGTAAAAGTACTTAGGCTAAAGTAAAAGTACCAGAGAGTAGGGATACAAGTTACAAGCAATCAAAATGTAGAAAATTATCAAAATATATTTAAAGTAAAAGTACTCATTCTGCAGATTGGTCCATTTCAGAATAATTGAATGATAAGAATAAATACATGCTAATATTCATCTTAGTACCTCAAAATTGCACTTATGTATAGTACTTGAGTAAATCGACTTAGTTACTTTACACCACTGTGTGTTGTTCATTATCATGCATTGATGCATTTCTCTTTCAAAACACACGTTAGTGATCTGTTGTCATGCCAATAACGGCGTAACGTAAATACAGTCTATGGTAAATACACATCAGGAATTAGGCTAATTGATAGTGCTTACCGCTGTGAAAACTCCCTATGCAATATGTTTCATGAACAATAAAACCAGCACTACTCTGGGGTATTGTTTTTATTTAGCTATGCATGTGGGCAAGATATAAAAAACAACTGCAAGCTTGCAGGGCGGCCGTCCTTGGAGGAGAGCGATGTCCGCTCTCCTCTCCTCAAGGGAGAAGTTGTGCTAAAAAGCCCGATGCTAAATGTGCACGAAAATACCATTTAATGCATCAAAATGAACTTGAAATACACCGCATACAGGTGTTAAAGTAACAATATGTGTCTGCATATGGTTGTAGGTGAGCTATGCACAGCAGGAGTGGAGAATATAGCAATGCCACCATGTTGTTAGCTAGTTAGCTTAGCTAGCTTTACCTCTTCCACCCGCATGTCGATGATCCGCTCCACTTCGAACTGAGCCTCCACTTCCTCTTCTTGCTCGCTGTCCGCGGTCTCTACTTTGTCAGCCTCCGCCGCCATGGCTGCGGATTTGTTTAAAATTGTAAGATTTTTTGGATCCAGGAGTGGTGAAAAAGGCCGCTTTGGCTGTGTTCAGGAAGCAAAGTGTACCTGTGCTGCAGCAGCACCGCCCGTTCTTACCACGCAACGATGCATTCAAGTGCTGCCCATAACCTCACAATTCACAGATCTCACTTTTACTATTTGAATTTAAAACAGTTTTTGTCAAAGCTTTCAGACGTAAACACAGTACATGCTTCACGATACACAGCACTCATTTAACCAATAAATACATTAAAATAAAGCAGAACAACGCGATACTTATCATTTAACACAGGCCGATTCGGTCAACCACCTGTGTCTGACAAAGTTAACAAGTTCCCCTATAATGACATGTCTTAACTACATGAATAGAAAGACTACAATAGTTAAACAAAATAAAAAAGAATGTTCTGAACTGTGGGTTTCTCTACCACCGCACTACGGTGTCGTTATTACACACGTTGGAACCAAAAACCCCGAGGTTACGGGAAGGCAGCATGGACATTAAGCTGCCCTCTGGATTTTAACTGCATACATTTTAAAACAATGAAACACACATGGTGGACTGGACTGCACAAAGAGACAGATTTAAAATGATAACATATATACATTAAAATATCCTATACTGTTATATTGTAACACACAACTAACTCGAAAAGGGCAGCTTAGTGGTCATTTAGCCAAGTGCAATTCAATTCAACTGTTTGTGGTCAGAAGATCTTGTGTAGAATATATTATATATCCCATGCGTTGCATATCCATAGGCGTCATTTGCGCTGGGGACCCTGGGGAAAAGTATAACTTATAAATGTTCTGAAAAATTGCGTGCACAAAGAAATGTAATAGGCCTAAACCAAAACACTGGTTTAGTGTCAAGATGTGCAATTTGGACATGTTAGTAAACTTTTAATAGACAATGTAAAACAAAACATGGCTCCCGCTTTGCGGCAGAAGGGCGCAGGCAGAGCACTTTAAAAAAAAAAGTAATATAAACTGAATGCATAGTTTACATGTTAAAATAAAAAAAATACTACTTCCCCCCCCAGACCCCCCTGCAGGGGTTCGGTTTGCGAACATTGTTTTCACAACATGTGAGTATGCATGTGTCTCTGTGGAGAACAGGCGTGTTCAAGGCGGAGATCTTGGCTTCCTCATTCATTCCTGGCTGCCAACACTCACGCATTGAGCGTGAGAGTCACGCAATTAACCCATATCTCACGCACTCACGCCACACTTGCCTTTCCTCACGCTAAGTTTTCATCCAAAATAAATGTATAAATATAAAAATAAAGTGAAGGAACAGCAAACCGAGCGGTCTACGAAATGAGTGTGTTTTGAGTGTTGTATGTTTTGTAATAATGGACCAAGAGTCTCTTTAAATAAAGATGATGATGATGATGATGATGATGATGATGATGATGATGATGATGATGATGATGATGATGATGATGATGATGATGATGATGATGATGATGATGATGATGATGATGATGATGATGAAATGAGACGGTTTTCTGGCTTAGTTCAGTAAAGTTGGAACGATATTGGGAGATTCTGATTTCACGGATCAATAACTCATGAACAAAACGTTATTCAGACACAAAGGACGTCTCCTAAGTACCGTGGGGTTGACAACGAACTACAATCACATTTTGAAAAAAGTCACTGCGCCGTCCTCCGAGCTGGACACACATGGTACTAACGGAACTAAAGAACCAAAGTACCAGGGAAAGTCCTGCGGTGTGAATGCGCCTATAGGTCTCTATCGTGGTCTCTATCCGCAGCCGGAGAAGAAACGAGTGCTCAGGGACCGTCTGCAAAGTGCAACTCCGAAAAAAGAGAATACAATAGTATTCAATCATTATTATACACTAGCCTATACAGCTTATTACCAAACTCACTACACACATCAATAGTCTCCTGTGCGTCATACTACAGCAAGGAGTTTGGAAGAATATGCCTTTGAATAATTTTGGGGAATATTTATGATGTAAAAGCTCCAATAAATATGGCATCATCTTAAATAACTTTACTATTATCCAGTATATTTCTACCAAACTCACTATTTGCATTGTTGTTGTTAGCATCTGGTTAGCTTAACGGATATTAAAAGCTGTTTCTAAAACAAGGAAAGGGAGAGCTCCCTCCTGCCAGACTGAGAGATAACTACAGCTCAGTGAGGTAAGGGGCTCTCTCAACGTCTCAAACGTTTTGGTCACCATTTATGAGAATAAATGAAAAACAGTTATGAAATACTATAGGACAGTAAAACAAGGATACAGTTTAAAAGGTGAGTGATTTGTAAAATAAAAATAAAATCTGTTTGCCATAAATTCATTTTGCTCTCAAAATGCACCAGGTTGATGCATTCTTCCCGGGGAGCATTTTTTGGTTCCTACGAACAACATCTGTAGCCTGCCTGACACTGTCAATCCTGCCGATACAGGTGTTGCTAGTAATAGTGCTGCAGATAGCTGTAACAATCTTTCACAAGTGGTTACAAGCACCAAAATGTCAATGTTTATCCCTCTGGGGCCATTTATTTAAAAAAAGCCTGTTAGAGCCACCTCAATTTTCAAAATGGCGACCATCTTCCAAGATGGCCGCCATTTCCAGCCGAGGAAACAGTATTTTACCACAGAATTTCACCACTGTGTACATTTGGGTGATTTTGGTATTGAATTATATGTTTTTGACTATGGGAAAGTCAAATGTATATGTTTGAACTTGTTCAGAGCTGTTTTGTTTAATTTTAAAATACAAAATACAAAATGTAAAACATAACACTTAAAAAAATTGATAATTACAAAAACATGTAAAACTACGATTTTCAAACACCAACAGGAAACTTATTTCCATGTTTATTAGATATAACATTGCCACAGTATGATTGTGTATGTATTTACTCCTGACACCTGCAGCTAAATAATGCTGTACAGGGAAGACCAAATCGGTAACATTTGCATTGTTCACTGCATTCCGACTTGCATCCACACTTGGTTAGCTGCTGACAGCTCTCAGCGATAGGCGGAAGCTTGGTCCAGAATATCTGCCAATGATCTTCTTCTTTGGTCCATCCCCACTCTGCAGGACTCTGTATTTCAGGTTGAAGCACTGTTGACTGACTCCATATACCTGCCTGGTAGGCTGCACGTTTCAAATGCTGCAGTAGAGCCGCTTGGGAAGGAGGAATGCTTGTAGGCCCTCTGTTTCCTTGCAAACATGTAAAATCTGGCATCATTAACACCCTCAGCAACACTGGACCTGTCATACATCATGACCACACATTTTTCCAAGATCTTCAATTCGTCATCATAAACCACTGTTGGTGGATACTGGCTAAGTTTACTGAAGAGATCAGATGCCTCGTCAGTCGTCACAAACTTCCCATGTCTGCCAAGCTGTCTTCTTGCCTTTACCGCGGAAAGCTGAAACAACATCACAGCCAGTAAAGGCATGAAAGAAGAGAATCCCTTTGCTCTTTTCCATTCCAATAGAAAGACAAAGGTCATGCACAGTGATCCACTTAAGGTTCCGTCCATGGCCAAAGGCAATCCACAACTGTTGCAGACCAATTTCCTGAAGGGTTGGAAGAATGCTGACTGCAATCACAAGAATATCTGTGTCGTTGGCTTTTATAATTATGTTTTTTCTGCCCTCTTTTGCTGCTTGCTTGGCATGCACAAAGATTATTGTGTCGGCTTCTTCGTGACTACAGGGAGCCAACTCGTCTAGGCTCATGGTTTGGGTACTAGTGTTTTCTTCTTTGGTCACAATGACCACATTTTGCGCTGACATCTGTGCAATTTTGTCAGCAAGGTAGTGGAAGAGTTCAGTTTTGTTGTCATTGTCTCTGAGAAAGCTCTGCCAGTTTGATGGAATTTTGCCCTTGTTGGTCACCCTACGTCTGACTCCACGTCCTCGCCTTGACCTGGTTTCAACCTTTAGGCTCATGGGCAGGTAGACATCAAACACAATGTCAGTCCTCTTGTACTTGGTATGCCTCGATCGTGGGAAGGAAATCCTGTACTGCATAGTGTTCAAAGCTCTGGAGCCTCGTGGTGGAAGACTGTATACCAGTGCTGAACCATCAATAATGATGATATCTGCCTCAGGCTCAGTGTCAGGGATTGCAACAAGCGACTTGAGTATGCCAGCAAGCTGGGATTTCTGGCAGCTGTGAATCTTTCCCCCATCACTCAGAGCAGCAGGGAATGGGTGGTTCTCATGACCAAATGAACAGTTTAGAGAATAGTTGACATTCCTCCTGCAATACCTTCTGTCTGGAAAAAATGATAGAGGCTGGTTTTTGACGAAAAAAATCCACACGGTTCTATTGGTTTGTAGAAGGTTGAATCTTCGACGTCGATTCCTGCCATGAATTCCTGGAACTGAGCTTTGCCACTTTCATAGTGAGTTCTCATCAAGTCTACTGCACTGGTGTGAGCAATATCCTTTGTGTCTAGTGACAGCAGGTCACGACTCTCCTCTTGGAAAGGATTGCCTATATCTGTACATCATATCATAACTTGTGAGAGCTTATCAACTTTCTCAAGGAACACCCTTTGAGCTTGTTCTGTCTGCTCATGGTGGCTGGTGTGCTCTGTACCCTCTTTGACTTCAGAGGCTGCTTCACACTGTGCGACCAAATGGCTGATTTCAGGCCCAGCTATCATCCACCTCCTGAGTGCTGATGGATCTTCAGTTAGGCCGATTGCTCCCCCATCTGCCTTGACAACAGCGTTGGCCTGTTCGTGGGCTTGGTCGATGGCCATTGCTGAGAACTCTCGGCTTGATTTGTGCACAACTAATGTTCCACTCTCAAATTCCTTGGCCAGTTGAGGGTGTTTTTTTTTTGTCTCTGAGGTGGATCGGAAGCCAACGTGTATAGTTTGTGTTGTTGTTTGCAAAAAAGTAGGGTAAGAACTCAGCAAGTGAATGACAGTATAAGCTGAAGTTGGCTTCCCTGAATGATCAAATCAACATGAAAACCACCAGTTCCATCGACAGCACTCTATTCCAGAAGAGAAACTGGGGGCTTTGTAGTTTGTGGCTCTCGCAGCATTTTCAGTTGCCTCACAGGAGTAGTCAGCATAGGCCACCTTCATTAGCTTG